CCGAGAGCTGCCCCCCGAGCGGGGACCCCGTGTGCGGCGACGACGGCGTCACCTACGGCAGCGAGTGCGCCATGGCGCGCTCGGGGGCCCTGCGCGGGATGGACATCCAGAAGGTGCGCTCGGGGCAGTGCCAGCAGCAGGGTGAGTGTCAGTCCTTCCAAACCCCCTTGATCACGGGCAAAGAGCCTCCAGCTAACTCAGGTTAGAAAGGGCTGTGTTTATTCATCGTCCCCAAAAGGCGTGACCGCCCCCAACAAGGTTCTCTCCCCTCTATTTATCTCCCAGATTTGTGCATCCCGTGCATGTGCATGACCCCAGTGTCGCTAGAGGACACAGGGAGCGAGGGTTCAATCATAAACAGCAGCCAGAGATTTATTTTCAGGAGGCAAAAGTTTTTATTTTGGGGTTCTCAACCCTTTTTATGAGGTGTTTCCATACAGGTTAACCTGACTGGTACAAGGAACAACACCTCCCTCATCCCATTGGTGGGACAAGAGAAAAACACTCTCAGAACATCTGTGTCATTGTTTTGAGAAACCATGAGAAACCAAAACCTTGTTTTCACAACAGCCTTTGAGAGAGAAAGCTCCCAAAAGACTTTCCCTTGAAGGATCAGGTCAGCCCCTGAGAGCCTGAAGCTCTCTCGGGTTCAGAAGATCATGTCCACACCCCAGCAGCTCCCACCCACTCAGCATTCAAGTGAAGCTGTCAGTGCACAGTTCTTCTCTTGAATTGGGTCAGTGATCTCAAATCGGGTCAGGGTCTCAGACTGGGTCGGTGGCCTCAAAGGATGAAGTCAGGAAAGTCTTCCTCAGGTCCGTGCAGGCTCTGGCAGGATCCAGGCCCTGCTTGGTGATCGATCAGTGCAGAGCCGTTGTTCTCACCAGCTTCAGTCTGTTCCTATAACAGCTCCCTCCACTTTCTTCTGTGAACAAGCTCATAATTATAACATATAATTAATAACAATGTGGCAATTAGCTCTGGCTTAAGCATCTAATAGTCATTAACTTGCCATTTGCTTATCTGACTTATATCTTGGTCATTATAAAGTGCTTCTAAGTCTTAGCTAAAATCTTAACTGTTCAAAAATCACGATTCAAGTGCCTCGGCATCCTCCTCCTCCTCCTCCTCCTCCTGTGTCGGAGCTCAGCAGCTCCAGGCAGTGGGAACATCCCCTTGGTGCCCAAAGAGGCTGCCTGGAACAGAGGCTGGAATAAAGTAGGGATCTAATAATAATAATAAATAATATAGAATACGGAATGCATAATAAACATTAATTAATAAATAAATAATAAATAAATAGTAAATAAATAATAAATAATTAAAGAATAAATAATAGAGGAATAAAGTGGGGATTTATTAAAAGGCCTTCCAAGGATGCACCTTGGGCAGTGCAAGAGCCCGGCTGAGGCTGCACCCAAGCTGGACCCTGGGTCAGGAGTTTTCACCCCTTTATAAGTTTTGGTCCATGTCCACATCGGGGTTAATTGCCCAATCACAGCTTCAGTTAATGAAGTCCCATCCTCCCAGTTTGCTCCAACAATTCACTGTTTACACTTTCTGGGCCTGAAGCTGTCAGGTGTCCTTGGTTCTGGGGCTGGAAGGGATTGTTTTAACAATCCTTTTAGTTAATTATCTAAACTGTGAGGAGAGCTTGCTCCCAGTCCAGGTGAAGTCCAGAGTTATCCCAGTGCAGTGCAGGGTCTGGAAAAGACGAGAGCTGAGAGCTGAGGCCGTGCCCTGACCCCCATCCCGCGGTGCCGGGCTGGGTGTGAGCGCTCTGGCCTGTCCCCACCACAGACAAGTGCAAGGACGAGTGCAAGTTCAACGCCGTGTGCCTGAACCGCCGCGGCGCCGCGCGCTGCTCCTGCGACCGCATCACCTGCGACGGCGCCTTCCGACCCCTGTGCGGCCGCGACAGCCGCACCTACGGCAGCGACTGCGAGCGCCGCAGGGCAGAGTGCCTGCAGCAGGCCAGCATCCCCACCAAGCACAGCGGGCCCTGCGGTGAGCACCGGGGCCACCGGCCGGGGACACCGCGAGAGGGGTGCTGGGCATGCCTGGCCTCCAGGGGATGGGGGGCCTCAGATTGTCCCAGGGAATGGGGGGCCTTGAATTGTCCCAGGGAATGCTGGGCCACAGATTGTCCCAGGGGTGATGGTGCTCAAACTGTCCCAGGGAATGGTGGTCACTCCTGTTCCATGGGGGTGGTGGTCCTCAAATTGTCCCAGGGGATGGCGGTGCTCCAATTGTCATAGGGGTGGTGGTCCTCAGACTGTCCCATGGGGATGATGGTCACTCCTGTTCCATAGGGATGGTGGTGCTCAAATTGTCCCAGGGCTGGTGGTGCTCAAATTGTCCCAGGGGTGGTGGTCACTCCTGTCCCATGGGGATTCTGGTCCTTGCTGTCCCACAGGGATGCTGATCCTCAAATTGTCCCATGGGGTTGCTGTCCCTCCTGTCCCATGGGGATGCTGGTGTCCCTCCTGTCCCATGGGGATGCTGGTGTCCCTCCTGTCCCATGGGGATGCTGGTGTCCCTCCTGTCCCATGGGGATGATGGTGTCTGCTGTCCCATGGGGATGATGGTGTCTGTCCTGTCCCATGGGGATGATGGTGTCTGTCCTGTTCCTTGGGGATGCTGGACTCCAAATTGTCCCATGGGGATTCTGGTCCCCCACCCACCCTTGGCCCTTCCCGGCTGGCTCCAGGCAGGGTGGGATGTTGGGAAGCTGCAAATGGATTCCTGCTGAGCAAGGCAGGGGCTCAGCCTCGCGAGCAGCCGGCCTGGCTTGTGGCTGGTTCCGTGTCCATGTCCCTCCAGCAGCCCCGGTGTGTGCACGTCTCACTGTCCGTGCTCCTGTCTCTGTCCCATGTGGGGGACACCCATTTGTGTTTGAACCAAGTGTCTGACGTCCTGCTGGTTCCTCCCCACCGCATTCTCTTCAATCCATGCCATCCATTGCTCCTCCAGGGTAGTGCCAGTCTCCAAACCCTTCCCACGCTCTCCCTTCCATGCCTGCCTGCTTCTCCCAGCTCCAGGTGCTCTCCGCCGGGAACTCTTCCCTCTGTGCTCTCTCTGGAGCTCTCACTGTGTCTTTGTCTCATCTCTAGGAGAAGCTCCCCAATGGACCTTTCTCAGGAGGATGGGATGGGATGGGGCTTTGGATCCTTAGGATGCTGGGAATGTCCGGTTTTAACATCTCCCCTGGCAAGTGAAGGAGGTTAAAGCAGCCACGGCATTGATTTGGATGAGTTACAAGTTGTTCATTTCAGCTCAGTTCGGTTTTCCCCACCTCTGGAGCTGCGTCCTGTTCTTTTAAGCTGATGTTTAATCAGGTATCAGCTGGTCTGAGCCTCCCAAAGTGCTTGGGAATCAGAATCCCACACTGGGGATGTGCTTTGTTGGCTTTGTGCTCCTGCTGGAGGCTTTCGAGGCTGCCAGACCCAGCTGCTGGAAAAGAATTTGTCAGGCTCCCAAAATCGCACTCAGAATAAGCACAGCTGTTATTTTTAAGCATCCATTTCTCTGTGTTTCTGCTGGGGGAATGGCTGGGAGTCAATTCCCCAAGTTTTCCCGGTGGGAAGGGCTGTGATCCTGATCCCAGGGGGGGATTTTTTGCAGCCCTGGCTCCCTGGGCTCTCTTTAAACCTTCCCCTGGCCTCATTGAGAGGTTAAAAGTTCCCAAATTTCGGTGATGAGCAGGGAATTCGCGCTGCTCCTCAGCGTCAGCCACGCATCATTTCCACTGTGTTCCATGGAAAAAGGCCAGGAGCAGCAGGATGTGGCCCTGGTGCACCTGCCATTCCTCCCTCCATCTCCTTTCCTTTATTCCAGCTCCCTCCCCACTCCAGGCCAGCATCTGCTTTCAGGAGCTGTATCCTGCTGGGATGGGAGCAAAAAATGGGGGAATGAATCAAAACCAGGGCTCAGTCTGCCAAAACCTGGGATTGCAGTCCCTGAGGCAGCTCCAGGCAGTCCTGCAGCCCATCCCCAGGAGGTGTGAGCAGATTTTTTTATCCCTGTCAGCTCTGGAGAGGAAAAGGAGAAGCTCTGAGTGCCTGGGTGCTGTGGGAATGCAGAGCAGGGAGGGGCCTGGCAGCGTTTGAACCCCTGACAGCACCTGCCTGAGAAACCCTGAGCTCTCTGCTGCCTTCTCCAGCACCTGGGCCAGCGACACAAAGCCAAACAAAACCATCCAAGCCTTGTTTGGAATCCTTCTCAGTGCCACAGCTGAGAGAGAAGGGATGGGATGAGGCTGAAGTGGGAGGAAAGGAAAGGAAAGGAAAGGAAAGGAAAGGAAGGGAAAGGAAAGGAAAGGAAAGGAAAGGAAAGGAAAGGAAAGGAAAGGAAAGGAAAGGAAAGGAAAGGAAAGGAAAGGAAAGGAAAGGAAAGGAGTGTCTGTCTTTTCCTCCCTGTCTCTGCTCTGTGCTCCTCTTTTTCTCCCTCCTCTCTCTCTCTTTCCTGTTTCCTCTGTGTCTTGTGTTTTACAGTGTTGCCTGTGTGGAGGAAGGAATTCTGTCCTGGCACCACCCTCCTGCTCCCAGCCCGGACATCTCTGCTGGGAGCTCGGCTCTGCCCCTCCTCCGTGGCCAGGGCCTCTCCTGGCCTCCTCTCACTGCTCCCACCTCTCTCTAGTTTGGCCTGAGAGCCCCCCAGGATGGAGAGCTTGCCCTGGGGGGTTTGTCCCATCCCTCGCCCCAAACTCTGCCTGCTGGAGTGGAAATTGCTGGGCTCTTGTCCGATGCTTGCTGTGCCTTCGAGGCAGAGTGGGAGCAGAGGTGGGTGCTGGGAGCCCCCTGCTCCTCAGCCAGCCCCTCCCGGGGCTGCTGCATCGCTCTGGACTGCTCCTGATTGATCTTCCCTCTCCTTCTGCTCCCAACTAACCAACCCCCCTTGCTTCCCCGCCTCGTCCTTCCCGGAGTTCCTGCTGCCCGGGGCTGCGGCGCTTCTCCCCATGCTGTCCCGGCTGTGTGTCCTGCTTGTCCCTGAGCCCAGGAGCTCCACAGGGATCCCAGCTCCCTCTCCCAGGCTCACAGGAGCTGGCTGTGCTCGTGGGTGGCTGTTCCCTGGGAATATTTCCCTGTGGAGCACTGCCGGGTGTCAGGCATGGACTGATGGGCTCAGTGCCTCTTCCCCATGGGCATCCCCAGCTGGGCTGGCAGGAGAGCTCAGTGTTCCCTGGATATTCCCAACATCTGGGATTCTCAGATCCCTGGGCTTGGCTAGGTGTCTGTTCAGAGCCATGGAATGCTTTGGGTTGGAAGGATCTTAAATTATTGTCCCGTTCCAGCCCCCTGCCGCAGGCAGGGAACCTCCCACTGCCCCAGACTGCTCCGAGCCTGGTCTGGAGCACTTCCAGGTTCAGCAGCAGGTAAAGGATCAGGCCCTGGAATCACCCAGGGTGCAGAAAGAGAGTTGGGCTTTCCCTGTGCCTCAGTTTCCCTCCCTCCAGGGTGGAGCAGGGCCAGGACTCAAAGCAGGTCTGCATTAAAGCCCAGCTCAGCAGGTCCTCGTTGCTCCCACCCACAGCAAAATCAGTTCCAAAGCCCCTGAGATGTCTGGAGGTGCCCAAGGCTGCATGTGAGATATTCCAGGCTGGTATTTGGGAATTCCATGTGCTGCATCTCCAGCGTGTTCCTGCTGGAGAAGGACAGGGAATGTCAGGGCCGGGTTCTCCACCAGGGCTGGCCCCTCCCGGTGCTCCCACTCCCATTCCTGCGCTTCCCAAGGCAGGAGGCTGAGCCTGGATCTCAAACCAGGGATTATCTTTGCTTCATGCCCAGGAAAGCTGTCCAGAGGGAATTTCCCCATGGAAGCTGTGTCTGTGTGTTGGGGGATGCGGTTAAGGGACCAAAACAGGAAACAGACGGGGCCTGCTCCCCGGGGAGCAACTCCTGGTGCTGGGGAAGTGCTCGGAGCTGCAGGGACGCTGGGGACAGAGCTGCAGAGGGGCTGGATTGTGTCCTTGTGCCTAAACTGTCCCCCTCTCCCTGTTCCTTTCCAGACCCTTGGCTCTGGGCTGTGACTTGGTAGGTGCTTCCCAGAGAGGCAGATCCCGATCCGGGCGTTCCCGGGCCCTTCCTGGCTGGCTGGCACAGGGCTCCAGCCTGGCTGCTGCTCTGCAGAGCTGCCACCAACGTGCTGCTGCCAAGGGAGGTGCCCAGGGCCGCTCCAGAGGGGCCTTTCCCAGCTCTCTGCTCTGTGCCTGCCTCGCTGCCGGGGCTGGGCTGTGTCTGCTGTTGCTCCATCTCCTCCGGGCCGCATTGTCTGTCCCCCCATGTCCTTGTCCTGTGTCCTTGTCGCTGTCCAGCACCCATGGAACCCGTGGTGTCCTTTCCTCGTGCCAGACCCTGGGCAGCATCCTCTGTCCCCAGCAGCACGGCCACCTCAGCTCCTGGCTGGTGGGGGCATTCCTGGAGGGAATTCTTGGTTGGGAGCTGGGATGAAGCCCTGGGATGTCCCTGCCAGCAGGGAGTGGGACACGGCCTCTGCTCTCTGCTGGCACTTTGTCACTGCTGAGCATCGCCCAGGGGAGGGGCAGGGTGGGGATCACAGATCCAGAGGGAATGCTGCTTCCCAGCTGGGGAATTGCCAGCCCCTGGCAGGCTCAGGGCTCTGCTGGAGTCCCTTCCTGAGGGCTGGCCTGAGGGAAGGATGCGGGATGTCCCCTCCCTGGGAAGAGGAGGGAGGAGGATGGGACGGGGGATGAGCGGTGTGGCAGAACCAAGCGTGTCCTCTCCAGCCAGCTCCTCCTGGGGAACCCCACGAGCTTTTCAGGGAACAGTGTGATCCCAGGTGTGGATCCCAGGGAAGGGAACTCTCCCTGTGCGAGCTTTGTGGAAGGTTCTGCCAGTGCTGCTGCTGCTGCTCCCATTTCCAGGCAGGGGCCGAGGTGGGAATCCCGTTCCCGGCGTGCGGGGGAGAAGATCCCGTGCCTGCTGCCCATCCCTAACCTCTGCCACGCATGGGGACCGTGCTGAGCCGGGCATGGCGGGGCGGCATGGAGGGGCCAGGGGCTGGGCTGGGGGCCAGCCCCG